GTGTGTGTGTGTGTGTGTATATATATATATATGTGTGTGTGTGTGTATATATATATTTTTTTAAACCCTTCCAACACTGCTGCAGTATTCTAAACAATGTTTCTAAATGCTCTAGAAGAGCACAGAATGTCATGATTTCCCTCTTTGTGCCTCCGCTGCACTCAGCCACCTGCAAGCATTCTTGGCCACGCCCACTTCTCCACTCTGCACAGAGAACATCTGGTCAGCTGCAGGAGGAAGCTTATCCTGCACCTCTGGGCTGCACAAAGGTGCAGCAGGTGCTAAATAATTTTAAATTTATTTTAAATAAAAAAAATTCCATGCCGATCGTGCAGCTCATCCATCAATCAGCCAATTGTGTGTCATGTTCAATCTTATTTTGAAAAACCGCAATAGAGCGAGTCCGTGAAAAACAAACCGCGAAGTAGCGAGGGACTACTGTATATCTATATATTTGTTGTGGTTTTCATGCTGAATTGCAGAACTACTGTTAAGCAAAACATAAAAATATAGATATTTTTAATTGTAATTATACTTTTGAGGGAGTGGTGGCGCAGAGGTTAGAAGTCTCTCTTGAAAATAAGTTCTTGTGGCTCACTGAGACTACCTTGATAAATAAAGGGTAAATGGAAAAAAAAATACTTTTGAGGCTCTTTAGGGGAGTGGTGGCGCAGAGGTTAGAGAAGGTGGGCCTGTGATCGGAAGATCGCCAGTTCAAGCCTCGGTACCGACAACATCAAAAATGCGGTTGGGGTAGGTGAAGCACCCACACCTGCCCCCATCGTCATTCGTCTCACTCTGAGCCCTTGAGCAAGGCCCTTAACCCCCATCATCTGCTCCTCTGGGTGTCCTAGATAGCAGCTCTCTGCTCCACACAGAGGGCTGTGGTAGCTCGGTGGTCTATGGTTGTGTCAGGAAGGGCATCTGGCGTAAAAATAACTGCCATGTCTTTGTGTGACTTAGTTCGTTGTGGCGACCCCCAACACAGGGAGCAGCCGAAATAAATAAATAAATAAATAAATAAATAAAAGTACTTTTGAGGCTCTTTGCAATAGAGCCAAGTCGTCGATGACTTGGATTTATATGATGGAGCGCTAAAATGCAAAAAGTCTTGGCTCAAAAAATGAGACTTGTTCTTGTGCAGCTGCTTAGATAAGATGCCTTCCAGAAATTGACATCCATCTGCGAGGCTTAGTTTTTTCATTTTCAACCCGAAAAGTTTCATTCAGCTCCTCCTCAACAGTAACCGCTCATTCTGCTTCTCTTCTTCTCTTCCTTCTTCTATGTTCATTGTTGATTAAAAAATATATTGAAAAATTCATCATCGCACAAATCTACCGTGTTTTAAAATACTGATGTAATAGACATATTTAGATGATTCTAAAGTGAAAGCTTTTATAGAAATGACCTATAATTTAAGTCTCACAAAAAAGAAATACCAGTAAGATGTTTAGTTTGATAATGGCTCCTCTGGCTCTGCACACTGTTCTTTTGCTGTTTTTTAATCTTCTTTTCTTTATGTTTCCCTCTGCAGTCTATTGAAGAAGTGGGTGGTTACGTCCTGATTGCACTCAACACGGCCTCCAGGATTCCTCTGGACAACCTGCGCATCATTCGGGGTCACTCTCTTTATGAAGGGGAGTTTGCGCTTGCTGTGCTCGCCAATTACGACAAAGCTACTGGTCAGGGCACCACTGAGCTGCTTCTGCCCAGCCTGACAGGTAGAAGGAATGGTCCCGTCTTCAGTGACAGATGGTCAAAAACTTAGTTTAAATTACTCTTTAAAAATAAAAAATGTTTTTTTAGGATCACATTTCATGTCTTTTTGTAGAAATTCTAAAGGGAGGTGTAAAGTTTGCGAACAACCAGCTGTGTAACGTGGAAACAATACAGTGGGATGATCTTGTGAATACTGAAACCACACCCAGCATGGAGCGCCCACAGGCGAGCAGCAACCCACTTTGTAAGTGTTACGCTTCACAGGCAGGGAGAAACCAGGCAGAACTAGATATATTTGTATTTTTAATGTTGTGAAGTAAACATATTTTTATTAATTTTTTGTCTTCTTCACAGGTCAGACGTGCCACTCGAGCTGCTTCAACGGTTCATGTTGGGCACCAGGTCCACAAAACTGCCAAACATGTAAGCTCTTTTAGCTTTGATACAGTATATTTGATATAATCACAGCATGCAGTCAGGAAGGTTTAGCCACAAATTTAGCCATACAGTAGTCCCTCGCTACTTCGCGGTTCATTTTTCACCGACTCGCTCTATCACAGTTTTTCAAAATCAGATTGGGCATGACACAATTGGCTGATTGATGTATCAGCAGCATGATCAGCATGGGATTTTTATTTTAAATTATGTAGCACCTGCTGCACCTGTGTGCAGCCCACAGCTGCAGGAGAAGCTTCCTCCTGCAGCATGTCAGATCTCTGCTCTGCAGCAGAAAAATGGGCGTGGCCAAGAGCGCTGGCAGGTGCCTGAGAGAGTGGAGATCATGACATTCTGTGCTCTTTATGAGCGTTTAAACTTTAAAAATTTGCTAGGGACATTGCAAAAGTGCGGGAAGGGTTTAAAATGTCATAATGTTTACCTGTATATAAATACTAATATAAACTACTAGCTACTACTAGGCACTACTAGGTACTATACTACTACTACTACTACTTCTACTATGACTACTATTACTAATACTATTATTATTATTACTATTACTATAACCACTACTATTACTATTACTACTACTACTACTATTATTATTATTACTATTACTATTACCACTACTATTACTATTACTACTACTACTACTACTATTACTACTATTATTACTATTATTACTATTACCACTATTATTTACTACTATTTATTATTATTTACTATTACTACTACTATTTACTATTATTTAATATTAAATGGTAAATGATAAATGGACTGTACTTATATACCGCCTTTCTATCTTATCGAGATACTCAAAGCGCTTTACACTACAATCATTTATCCATTCATACAGCACTCTACTAGATCTCTACAAAGCTAATTGAACAGATTCTAAAGAGACTAATCAGAGCTTTTTCACATTCGTCGCCGATGGGACACACATCAGAGGCAATGAGGGGTTCAGTGTTTTGCCCAGGGACACTTCGCCATGTGACTGCTGATTGATTCAAACCCCCAACTCTTGCATTGGAGGACGGCTGCTCTAACCACTCAGCCACAGCCTACCTATTACTACTACTATTTATTACTATTATTATTATTATTATTATTACTATTATTACTACTACTACTATTATTTTTATTACTGCTGCTGCTGCTACTATTGCTACTATTATTACTACACTTAATTTTGTTCATGACAATAAGGCTTGGACTGCTGTATCCCTACTTCGTGGTTGTTCACTTATCGCCCAGGTAGGGCGCGTGGTCCCAAACCCACGTGATAAATGAGGGACTACTGTATTTCTTTTATTTTGCATACTTTGGCTTTTAAAATGCAAACATTAAACACTTCCCATCAGCTCACTGACTCTGAGCTTCTCTCGTCTGCAGTGACGAAGCTGAACTGTGCCCAGCAGTGCTCCAAGAGATGCAAAGGACCTTCACCGAGTGACTGTTGCAATGAGCACTGTGCAGCCGGGTGCACGGGGCCCAGACCCACAGACTGTCTGGTGAGACTAAACAATAAGCAATCTGAATATTTAATATAGTGTCCTTAATTCTCGTTTGAAACAAAGCCCCTCTCTAAGCAACTTGTGTTGATCAGAGATGTTTTTAGTTTTAATACCAATGAGACAGCGTAACTGTTGATTAAATCTTTTATTTGGCAGAGCCTTGAGCATCAGCGTCTGCTCTATCTTTCCGTGCAGCTTGGAGAATTAAGCCAAAGCTATGAAAGTGGAATGCAGTGTTATCATTAGTAAGGGGCTCTGTTTTGGTCCCGGCGCACTGGGATGACTGTTGTTTGTGCTGCAGGCCTGTCGGGACTTCCAGGACGACGGGGTGTGTAAGGACTCCTGCCCAGGCCTCATGCGCTACGATCCCAACCTGCACCAGCTGGTACCTAACCCACACGGGAAGTACAACTATGGGGCCACCTGTGTGAAAAGTTGCCCACGTAAGCACAGATAGTCTAAAATCTATGTTTGAGTGAATTTTATCGTTAGATTTGAGTTCACAGCGAAAAAAAGTAAGTTTTTTGTTCTTTTTTCAGTTTAAAGCTTTTGCCAGGTTGTCCTTCAGGGTTGTTCAGTGGTTACAGTTTGTTCAAGTTTAATGATAAACTGCAGAAACGAGAAAAGAATGATTGAGTTTCAGGGTGTGTTAATGCAACATCCCGTCTTTAGAAGTTTAACTTGCTCAGATGTGTTATTGCATCACTCCGTTTCTAATGTATGACCAACCTGATGTTGCCTACTTCTTTAATGACTACCACACACTACTACTTCTTAAAGGAGCATGAACAAATGTTTCATTTTTTGCCTTTTAGAGATACTTTTTAATAACCCAAAGTTTTATATAACATTGCTCATATTTTATTCTCATTCCAGATAATTATGTTGTGACTGATCATGGAGCATGTGTGCGGTCGTGCAGTGGTGACACTTACGAAGTGGATGAAGGAGGAGTCAGGAAGTGTGCCAAATGTGACGGACTGTGCACGAAAGGTCAGAGGTTAAGCTGTTACTGTTCAGTCTTAAAGAAGATTCTGACCATATACAGAATAGACTGAGAAGAGGTTGAATAAATACACAAACATGGACCCCTGAGACATTCTTGTCAGGATTAACAGAACAGTCTTAGTCTAATTAAAGCAATATCAGACCTGTGGAAACCATATAAATAAGTAATATCTTACCTGCTGAGGTCTAAACGGAAGCTCGGAGGGGACAGAGATTTTGTGTTGCTGCACCAAGATTATGGAACAACCTTCCACTTTAAACAAACACATTATTATTCTTTTTAGCATCGTCTGAGGCTTGCTTTTGTTTATTTAACTTCTGGTTTATTGTTTTTATTGATCTTGTTGCTTTAACTGTTCATGCTTTTACATGTACGGCACTTGGTTGCAGTTGTGTTTTTTTTAAGTGCTTTATAGTAGTAGTAGTACTTGTAAATAGCTTTTTGAATGGCTTCAGTTTGGATAAATGGTTTAATTATGTCCATAATGGCGAGCTACGTCTGAGCTTAAAATCTATTAAAAGGACTAGAAAGGGACTAAAAAGGAGGATCAAGGTAGTTTAAGCTTAATTATCTGTGAATTAATAAAAGACCTAACTTGGAAAAAGTGTATATAATAAAAATATATTATACATCCTCATAAATACATTTTGGGGATAAAGTGTTTAATGAATGTGTCCAAAAATATGTTACATTTAAGATTTTGATATCAGTGTGCCTTAACTAAAGACTTGTTTTGTCTTTCATTAAGGAATCTTACAGCAACTGGACTATTGTAACATTATCTCTTAGCATGGTAATGTTCAGTAGTTTAAGTCTTGAGTGATTGAATAGTTTTACCAACAAAATCCAGACCACAAGGACATTTCTACATATCTATGGAATTAGAGATAGAACAAGACTTAGTATCGTGGATGTACCTTTTTCCTGTGTAAGGATGAATAAAACAAACAAAAAAAACTAAATAAAGTTGCATTGCTGCCAATGTCCACATTGATCACCAGAAGTGGTAGATGTAGAATATGTAACTGCACCTCAGGAAGAAGAAGATCTGATCTGACCAGTAGATTGCAATCGTTGAATGAAGCGGTTTTGGAAGACGTGCTTTTGGTACTTGATCAGAATCAGTCATAAACCAAAGTTCCTTAATGATGTTTTCAGTAGCAGCAGATGTAGATTTCTGTTTTTGCTTTTTTTTATTTTTAGTCCAGCTCCCGTTTCAGTGTTTTCCAGTTCTTTCATTCTAATACAAAGAGTTGATGTTCTTCATAGTGTCAGCCCAAAAAGCAGAAATTGTCCCATGGTCAGCTGCAATTATTGGATATTTCTGAACATTTAAAAAGCAGAGTGGCTGAGAATTCCAGCATTTTGTGTAATGCAGGACAAATGACTTTAAACTTACTTCGTAGGTTCCCTGATTTGTATGAATGAGTGACTAACAGGCTTCTGAAGAACTTCAAGACATGCTGAAGAGCAGGGAAAGGGTGGTGTTCCTCAGGGACTAGGGTTGGGAACCATTGAGCTGTATATTTATTTATTTTTAACTAGAACTAAAATTGGCATCTTTTTGAGTGTAAAAAAGCACAACTTTCGCAATATTTGTAAACTGAAACAGTTTGCTATGAGAAATACAAATTTAGAGATTTGTGTTTTGTTTCACCAACCGTGTGCAGTTTTCTCCTATTTTAAGTAACTTAATTTTTTTCATCAATTATTTTAAATTGTTTATCTCCCTACTTTCATACGATATTGATAGACAATCAATTGTTCTCAGTGTGCGACGGACTTGGGATGGGAAACCTAACTCACACCTTGTCTATCAATGCCACCAACATCGACTCCTTTAAAAACTGCACCAAAATCAATGGCAACGTTGCTATCCTTAAGACGTCATTTAATGGGTAAGTCTGAATCAATGTTTTTTTTTTTTCTTAAACACGTTCAACAGTTTTTAACAGTCTTTGGTTTTAATTGCGATTTGGATGCATTTTCTTATTTGAAGGGATACATACACCAAAACACCAAAAATGGACCCTGCTCAGCTCGACGTGTTTAAAACGGTGAAAGAAATTACAGGTGAAGATCAAGAAATGCATGAGTAATCTGTGAAACATTGCATGCCAATTCACACGTTGTTTGTTGCTTCAGGGTATCTGTGGATTCAGACGTGGCCTGACACTATGAGCTCACTCAGCCCCTTTGAGAATCTGGAGATCATTCGAGGAAGAACGAAGCGGTATGTTCCTCGTAAATCCCTCCATTCTGCTCTTAACTGCTAGCTCTTAATGAAGAAAACAGATTATTTAAAATTGTCTTCATCCATTTTTGGTCAACTGAGTGGTGTTCTAAATAAATACACCTTTTTAATACACTTTATTGTGCGTTGTGTTATATAGTCCTTCAGTTTTAGTTTGAACTCTTAAGAAATATTTAAGACTCTCACAAAGTCTTTTCTTTTTCTTTGGGCTCCACTGTTTGTTGGGTAGGGGTAGCCGCAGTGTGGTCATGATCCAGCTCAATATCAACTACCTGGGCCTTCGATCTCTTAAAGAAATCAGTGATGGAGACGTTGTGATCATCAAGAACCAGAACCTTTGCTACACAAACAAAAGCCTTTGGGAGAAGCTCTTCAAATCAAAAAACCAAATTGCAACAATAGAAGAAAACGCTGATGCTGCCACTTGTAGTAAGCTCTCTGCAGCTCTGCAAACATTTGATCACGCAATGGGCAAGCACATTTCAAAATGGAGGGTAATTAACCAGGTCTCTGCTTGAAATTGTCTGTCTGGTTTCAGCGCTGAAGAACAACATTTGTGACAGGAAGTGCACCTCAGACGGCTGCTGGGGTCCGGGCCCGGACATGTGTTTCACCTGCCGGGACTACAGTCATGGTGGGACCTGTGTCGACTCCTGCAACATCCTGGAAGGGTAAGGAAGGAATCTTTCTTTTAACTAAACAAACTGTCCAAATATATGGAGGATGGAAGGTGACAAAATTAAATAACTAAATACACAATAATGAAATGTATCATTTAATTATTAAATACATAAATTAATTATTAAATACACCATTAAATATACAATTAAATTATTAAATACACAATAAAATTATTTATTTCATGATATAACTATTTCATGATTTATTCAATTGTTTAATTATGTCACATTCCATCCTCATGTGTCACCATGAAATCAAACTCAGTGGGCGGGACTAGCACTGAGCATGTGAAATCCATTGTTTCGGTCTGACAAAAGAAGTTTAATCCAAATACATGTAAACACAATTACCGCTTCCTAAAGTTTTTTTGGAATATATTTTCTGGCCTATCGATTATCTGTGGTCGATTTGTCTTCGCTTGCTGTGAGGAGCAGCCAGTCGGGCGTCAGGGTTAGGGTTAGTCCCGCCCACTGAGTTTGACAAGTGAGGCTGATCGTTAACATAACTTCATGGTGTCACTGGAGGGCGGAAGGTGACAAAGTTGAATAAATAAATAAATTGTGAAATAAATAATTTAAAAGGTACATTTAATTATTTAACGGTGTATTCCATAATTTAATTGTATAGTTAATGACTTAAATATGTATTTAATAAGTAAATTATACATTTAATTGTTATGTATGTATTATGTATGTATTTATTTCATTTTGTCACATTCCGTCCTCCATACAAGCATGAATCCTAGTTCATGCTGTCTGTTTTCATTTCCAGACTTTGCCATTAGATAAATTTAAGGATTACCGAAAGAAAGAACTTGAGATCTGAGGTATTTCTGAAGTTAAACCACCAGTAAGATGCAAGACAAACATTATTGGAGAAATGGCACAAATGATGTTTAGCTTTGGAGACTGTCAAATATTGAGGCTCGACGTCCTGATGCATGCTCAAGCTTGTAAGCTTGACATGCTTACTGTTTAACTTTGCTCTCTAAAAGAAAAGACTGACTGTAAAAGGGATCAAGATTAATTTTTTTTTTCTACTTTTGAAAAGAGGTTCCCCTGCAGCAAGAGTCTATCAGCTTTATTGTTTTTGCAGAGAGCCACGGGAGGCAGTTGTGAATAAAACCTGCGTGGAGTGTGACCCCGAGTGTCTGCGCATGAACGGGACCGCGACCTGCAGGGCGCCTGTATGTGTGTCATCTACATCTAAACTAATGTTTTACTGAATAATGCCTAAAATCCCACTAAACAGTTTTGTGGACCAAATGCATGAAAGTCGCAGCTTTGCAAAGCATGAAATCCCTTTTAGTCTCAGGTCTGTGGATTTCTTCATCAGCACAGACCATAATGCTGTGCAGCCGCAAGACATGTTGTGTTTGGACTAAAAGGTGTGTCTTTGAGGAAAAAGTTTGGCAACTATATTCCTTTTTATCCTTTGAATCAAATTTGATTGAAACTAGTTTAGACCTTCTTGTTTGGGGAAACTGGGGAACATTTGGTGCCGTTATCAGTGGGAAAAAAATATTTATTCTATAATATTTAAGAATTAACTTCCATTTGTGTGCAGAAGGTCTAACAAAGCTGTTCGGTTTTCATTGTATGACAGTTTCCTCATTACGTGGAAGATAAAGCAGCTTCCTTTGAGACATTATTTCCACTCTCAATATGCAGCTGTAAACCTTACGTCTTTTTTTATTTACTTTTAGGGTTCGGGAAACTGTACAAAGTGTGCCAACTTCCAGGATGGGCTGTTCTGCGTGTCCCGTTGCCCCCAAGGCGTGCTGGGAGAGGATGACAGCCTGGTGTGGAAATACGCAGACGAGAAGAAAGTGTGCCAACTGTGCCACAAAAACTGCACTCAGGGGTAAACATGGCCGAGAACAGAGAGCTGGTGTAGTATTTCTGTGTCGCAAATATTTGTCTTTTGTTAAACTGGTGCAGAAATACGAGCCTGGAGAGTTATCTGAGATTATTGAAACAGGACGATTTGGAAGAGAGGGTGCAATAGACAAGCTGTCAGGGATTTTTTTTGCATTTTTTTATTGTCTACATTCTGAATCTCCAACGGTTTCCATTTGTTTTTATTTTCTTTATTTATTATCTGGTTTCAGTGTTTAATTTTAGTGGTCTGTACGCCTTTATGGAACAGAGGAATAATGATCCGAGAGCACGCCAAATGTTTCTTACTCTCAACACTGAGGCAGGACGGTATATGGATGACTGAGAATGGAAATGGTTCGGCCATGGCTTCAAACCACTGAACGCAGTCACATCGTCAGGCCTTTGTGACTGTTTTGTGCAAGTTCTTATGCAGGAGAAAATAATTTGTGCTACAAAAGTGCCTCAATAGTTTAGTGTTTTCCAAATGCATCCATTTGAAACGTGGAAGTAAATAGTTCTCAGATCAGAGTATTTAGTTTTGTAGAAAATTGAAGAGAACTTTGATGTTTGTGCCAACATTAAAATCAAACAAGTTTGAAGAAATATGGCAACCACAAGTGGTATTTGATAATCACGACAACAAAGCATTGCTTAGCTTCACAGGAAACCAGTCGCATGATGCTGACAGCATTTGCAAACTAAACAAAACACACCAGTAACTGGAGATTCTTTGTGTTGATGTGTTTAAAGGTGCACAGGACCTGGTCTTGAAGGCTGTCACAATAAAAGGTGAGTACAGAGGTGCTCAAAGGTGCTCCCTTCACTGCATAAATATAGTTTAAACAACATCAGATTTTTACACCAGTCCAAAAACTGAAGACTATATTTTAAAGCCTCTCATTTTTTTGAAGTAATCCATATTTCCCACCATATTTTATGCACGAGTTTCAGGCCAAGATAATCTTATGTTGAGAAATAATTACGTTACAGCTATTGTGATCAAATCATAACGTTTACGGTCTATTGCCATATCTTGAGTGATCTCACATGCTCTACTAATGCTCAAAAAAATGATGCTCTACTATTAGCAAGCCAAATTTTAGCGCAGCATCTGTAAGACTGATGGAGTTGCAGTAGTCCCTCGTTTATTGCAGTATTCCAAACAATGTTTCGAAAGGCTCTAAAAGAGCAGAGAATGTCATAATTTCAGCTCCCTGCCTCATCTGCTCTTTGCGCTCTTGGCCACGCCCATTTCTCCGCTCTGCACGGGGAACAGCTGATCAGCTGCAGCAGGAAGTTTATCCTGTAATATGGGCTGCTCAAATGTGCAGCAGGTGTTAAATAATTTCAAACAATTTATTTTACATAAAAATTCCATGCTGATCGTGTGGCTCATCCATCAATCAGCCTATTGTGTATCATGTACACTCTTTATTTTGAAAAACCGCAATAGAACGAGTCCGCGATAAACGAACCGTGAAGTAGCAAGGGCCTACTGTATAGTAATTTTTGTGTGATCACATTTGTTTGTTATGGCAGAATAAGGTTAAGTCCAAAAGTTAGTCTATTGTAGGTGTTGGTATGATCTGTTTGGTGGATCTTGAGATATTTTGCTAAGACAAACAAACACAAAGGGCAATCTGATACAATTGTTGAACTTTTTTATTTATTTAAAAATGCACCTCCATAATATGTACGTTGAGGGGTTAAAGTATGTAAACTTGTACGATTTGAAGGTAAAATTAGGCATTTATTTTTAAATAACCAGGCACAATTCTCTATTGTTCGTTTATTAGCGCTTAAATAAAAACACAAGTTTTTGAAACGCAATATATTTTAAGGCATTGAAAAGTTGATGCTCATTAGGCAGAAAAATCTTATCAATTCATCTCTGAAGAGCTCGGACTCCACCCCAGTCCACAGTCCACACAGACCGTGTACAAATGGAGGAAATTCAAGTTCATGAAGCGGTAGAGCAGCGACGACCGCTCGGAGAGCAGAGAGTTTAATAAACCTGCAAGATCACAAAAGAATCCAAGCAGCTATTGTGACCTCTCAGGTTTCCAGTGCTCATCATCGCACTGAACAACAATGATGTTATTGGCAGTGCTGCATGGAGAAATCTGCTGCCTGCCAAGAAGAACAGAGCTGCTCGTCTGCAGTTTGATAAATATCACGTGAATGGCTTAGAATGACTGTTGGACATTTTGAACATTATGCAACCAGTGAAACATTATGGTAAAATTAACAGTTTGGGCTCATTTTTAGTATTGGGATGTGGGTGATGCAGCAAAATGAAAAATGTCCAAGTTGAGGATGAACTGAGCTGAACTGATTTTTGGAGCGACTGAGTAAAAGAGCAAAATTGATGCAATAAAAACGTGAAAGAACCTGGCGTGTGCAGGTTTTTCTGCGAGAACCCATCTACATCGTTAAAGCTGTTCTGGTTGTAAGATGAGCTAAAATTAATTTAAGCTGCAGGTAATGAAACTTTCAGAATGTAATCACTGGTCATACTACATCTCATTGTGCGAATGCTGAGTCACTGTTTTTTGCAGTCTATTTTTGCAAGCTTTGTGCTATTTAGTCTTTCATAGATCAAAACTTTAAACTTGTAGAGATGGGTCCTATGGCCTTTGTTATTGTAACATTTAAACAAGTACGATATATTTAGCCTTTATTTGCAAAAAGTACACATAGAAATCAATTGTGATCCCTTCAGTTCCTTCAAAAACTTTCATTTTGATATCTGCTTCAGCGTACTTATTTAATTTTTGTTTTCCTGCTCTACTTTTCCTTTTTGACTTTTAGTTTCCTTTATGCTACTTGTAGCATTTAGCCAGCCTTTCGCTACTTTTAGTTTCTAAACAGACCTTTGATACTTTTAGCCAGCCTTTCGCTACTTTTAGTTTCTAAACAGACCTTTGATACTTTTAGGTAGACGTTGCTACTTTTAGCTTTTAGTTCTTTTACCAATTTTAGCTTTTAGCTATAGGCGTTTGCTACTTTTGGCTTTTAGCTAGCATTTTGCTTCTTTTAGCTTTAACAACTCAGTTTCAGCTTCCTCAGCAATCTACAGTCACTCAGCACAAACCATTCACTGTATTTTACAAAAAATGCAATTTGTCTAGTCAGCTGTTTGAGTCAACCTGATTCAACAGCTAGTCAACCTTGGCAAACACGACAAAGGTTATTATGGATTTATTTTATTATGAGCTTGAATTCGGTGTGGCAGTAACTGAACGCCCTCACCAATAAACTCCAAGTGCTAACAGACAGCACAATATTGTCGTTTCAAACCTCTTGCAAGTTAACAGATTATCCACATTTCTTCGAGGAATGCTGATATTATTTTTGTCCCTTAAAATGGGTTCTCTTTGTCACACAAGTCCTAAATGTATGCTTTGCTTATCATCATGTCATGCTTGAAAAAAAAATGTGTTGAAAGAAGAACTAATTGTTTCAGAAACTTTTAAATGCAAACACAATTGCTGGTGCCTACACTTATTTACAACCACTATGTAGTGTGTGCATAAATCATGTTTCTGTCCTAAAGGTCTGCAGGTCTGCCCATGATTGCAGCTGGTGTAGTCGGTGGTCTTCTGGCGGTCCTGCTTGCAGGAGTTTTTGTCTTTCTGTTGCTTCGTCGACGGCACATCAAGAGAAAAAGGACCATGCGCAGACTGCTGCAAGAGAGGGAGGTGAGTTCATGACAGCTAGTTATCCTCCTCCATCATCGACTGTAAAATCTGTAAAAATCCACTCCGGGCTGATAGTCGTCAGCTTTTTTCTGCATAATTCACTTTAAACATATTATCCGCTCGGTGTTTTATTGGGTGAATTTAATGCAGCACTATGCTTCTCAGATTTTGTTTGACAACCCGTTAGAATACAGAAACCACAGCAGGTCTAAAAACAATCAGAATGTTAAACGAAGAGAAACTCACTTAGATAACCTGTAATTCACTTTGACTAATAAAACCTAGGGGAAAAAAACATTTATACTAAGCAGACTTTATGAAGTTGTTTTTACCCATGCTGCTTGCCTATAGAGTCACATAAGTTTAGGTGAAGTCCTGCAGCTTTGCTCAAGATAAACTGTGTTCAAACTACTAAAGTGTTCCACCTCTAAAGCAGGTCTGAGGTCTCAATGTGCAGTGAGGCGCTGGATAGCTAAAATCAGCTTTAAACAGCAGGTCTGAACAACCTACAGCCTGCAGAATTTTAAATCACTACTTGACATCTTTGTCTCTTTTGTAGCTCGTTGAGCCTCTCACTCCAAGCGGACAGGCACCAAACCAGGCTCTGCTGCGGATCCTAAAAGAACCTGAGTTTAGGAAAATAAAAGTGCTGGGATCAGGAGCGTTTGGAACCGTTTACAAGGTAACTGCACGAACATGCTGCTGCTGAGCTGGCTTTTTAAAAAAAATTTGTGGCTTAAACTCTTGGATTGAAAGTGTTTTCACTCATCTACACATGTTGTCAATTTTCAGTTACAACACACATTTTTAGCTTGCCACATCATGAATGACTTCACTTTTGCTGTCAGAGCTGTTGTTTTAATCACATTCAGGCGTTGATCACAAAAAGCTGCTCATTGAGTTGAATATTTTTCCCTATTTATTTTTAGGAATGTATTCAGATGGAAAAAAAAAAAGAAAAGCCAGCACTTAAAGTTGAAGTTTGCATGCATGGGCATCTGTGTTGTTAGGACTGTTTTAAACTTTGAGAACAATTTTTAAAAGCATATAGACGACAAATATTCAGTTTGCTGTACGCTTGTGGGTTTGGGTGCACCTTATAAGTGCATGAAAAGCAATAACTGCTTTGTATTGTGCAGTCTAACATTTCCAAGGCTGCTTGTGTGCTCGTTTGACTATTTATCTGCAATTTTAATTTGTAAAATGATTTTAAAATATGTCTGCAGGGTCTGTGGGTGCCGGAGGGAGAGGATGTGAAGATTCCGGTGGCCATCAAGGTTTTGAGAGAAGCCACATCACCAAAGGCCAACAAGGAGATCTTGGATGTAGGTTTACTCATTATTCAATTCAATTCAGTTTATTTATATAGTGCCAAGTCACAGCAGAAGAGATCTCAGAGCACTGAACAGAAACATTTATATACAGTATATACAAAATAAGTTAATAAGATTATTTATCTGAGGAGCAGACCGCTTTAAGTTTAACTTTATCGCAAACTCTCATCTTGAAAAAGCTTAAAGGCAACAGTGGAAAGGAAAAACTCCCAAAGCAGACAATTAAGGGTCTTCCAGGTTTTTATGTCTTTCAGACATGCTTGTAGTCCAAGTAACTGATTGGATTCACTGGGTTTCATGGACAAATACAACTGTGTATCATCAGCATAACAATGAAAATTTATCCCATGCTGTTTAATTACTTTACCCAATGAAAGCATATATAAGGTAAAGAGTAGTGGTCTAAGCACTGAACCCTGAGGAACTCCATGACAAACTTTTGTGTATGAAGAAGATTCATATCATATAAATATGCTTTAAACCATTTTAGAGTCATTCCTGTATTATCCCCCACTGCTGAAAGGTGGAAGCATATGATGAAGTATTCATATTCATCCTATCTTATAAACAACTCAATGAATTTCAATGATATTTTTGGTGTGCATTTTAAACCGATCAACTTTTGCTGTGTCTCATTCAAGATAGCTACCACAGCTGATCAATATTAGTCAACATAAAATTACTAGTAAGTCAGTTTTACAAATATTGAGCTAAAATTTAGAAATTTAAACGTCATCATTTCTCCACATAAGATGATTTTAGTCTGAAACTTAACATAAAAAGTGACGGGTGGATGCGTTTACCGTATTTGTGAAATGCTAGACCAGGGGTACCCAATCGCAATCTACCGGTCCATTGCAAAGGCATTATGGGTAGATCACATGGCATTAAAAAAAAAATGGACATCAGCCTAACATCCATCCTCACTATGAAATTTGTTACTTGATTGACATACAGGGCAGCCAGTCACAGCCCTCATTCTCTCAAACCAGGTCTCAGAGCGGAGATTTTCGGGGAAAATATTTATATTTATCTATATTTATCCCCCTCACCCCCACCCCCCCAGTGAAATTCTCCACATGTGAAGTTGCACATGCACACTATAGGCGGTTGCAAGTCAAAAGTTTTTCTGCACTAACATCAGCTATAATAAATTTCAAACAGCAAAGTGATTTTTTTTTTGTGCTACTCACCCTTTTTCAGCATGTAGGAGTGAAACTAATAAAATCCAGGGTCCAAAGAGACGTTGGTGTATTCACCAGTTTGGATGTAACTGTCATGCTGTCATGCAGATACTGCATGAGCGATGAATGCAGCTGGGCCCGGCATCAGGGTTGACAGATAAATTTAAAATGTCTTATGTACCCCCTCCTTTTCTATGCACATGTTCAACAAACACATCACACACCTCATCTTAGAATATCTTTACTCAGCACATAGGACAGTTGAGGTCAAAATACTATTATTTTAAAGCCACAGTAATATAGTTCATAATTTCTTATCTGGCAACCCGACTGACATGGAAACTACTGCGTTTTTCATGTAAATCCACTCATTTTTGGTTTATTATCCCCAATAAACATTGAAAAACACTAATGTTTCCAGAGGTTGTTCTCGTATAAACGGGGCCTTATAGTAGGTAGATCACTTTGACGTGGTCAGTTTAAAAGTAGGTGCATGCTGAAACAGTGTGGGCATCCATGGTATAGACCTTTTAATTTGAGATTTTAATTTCTAGCATTTTTACGACGGTTGAGTGAAATGAAAGTGGAAATATAAAGCTTTGATTGCTTATTTATTTTTAGTAGTTCTTAAAATATTTTTTGCCTGATTAAAATAAACACAGTTGCCAGTTGCTTCCTAGATGCCAACTCAACTTGAATGTACCCTGCAATTTAGAGCTCCGTCAGCTTTGTTTGAAACTAATGAGCCCTTGTTTTCCTTGTAATGGAGAACGTGTCGCATTAATGAGGGACTGCCTTGCGCTGTTTTGGGAAATGGGATTAATTCACTGGAGGGTAATGCGTAGGTGTTGGTGTGTAATCCGAGGCTGAAGTGTTCTGCAGAGGAATGCATCTCTGCGGCAGCAGCCTGCTCTACTTGCATCGCTGCAAATAGACAAACATGCACCTCCGAACCTGGGAGTCTGTGGCCGTGCAGCTCGATCACAGTGTTTGAATCCTGTGCAAGACCTGTAAACTTCCTGATTTGACAAATGTCAAGTAAAATCAAAATCAAGCCCTGTTTTTCTTTCGCTTCTCACTGCCAAGATAACAAAACTCAAGTAAAATTGACTGAAGATATCTATAATATGCGCAAATAAGCTATTTTGTCCAAGTATTTACACCAATGACAGGAACCCTACTAAGTAAAGCTCAGTTTAAAGTTCTGTTTGCTCACGTCTCCCTGCAAGAAACCCATTTTTCTTATTTTGTGTGTGTGCTGGCCAGTGCTGATTATCCATATGTATTTTCTAAAGTAGCTTTTCTGTTATGATGACTGTGAGTTTCCATTCTCAGGCAGGAAAATAAAGCTGGCTGCTAAGAAACTTATCCCCTAACAGCCTGCATCCCGCAGATGTTTCTCAAGCTATCAGTTGCCTGAATAAACATGCACAAATCCACCATTATTAGTCAGGCCATAAGGTTTTTTTTTCAAACCTCTGACTTTGTGTGTCTTGTCCCCCAACAAAACCTAAACAATCTACATCAGATGATGGAAACAACTCTAAATCTGATCTTTTTCTTAGGAAGCTTATGTGATGGCCAGTGTAGAACACCCTCACGTATGCCGGCTGCTGGGCATCTGTCTCACCTCGACAGTGCAGCTCATAACCCAGCTGATGCCGTACGGCTGCCTGCTCAACTACGTCAAAGAGAACAAGGACAACATCGGCTCTCAGCACCTGCTCAACTGGTGTGTGCAAATAGCCAAGGTACGAGAGGAAGATCCTGGAAAAATAACATCACTCTCAGTATATTCCACACAGTACTTTTGCTTTGTTTATTCTGCACGTCAAGTTTAGTTTAGCACACTATAGTGATCCTGTTCCTCTTTATTGCATCTTTTCTTCTGTGCCTTTAACTTGTAGCTACTTCTGCCTAATTTGTGCTGTTTTAACCATGACTTGGATTTTGTAGCTTTTATGCTTTTCAAACTATTTGTTTTATGTACCAGAAAGTATCCCATATATTACATTAAAACATTGGGCTTGTTAAAATATTTAGCATATTTGCTCTATTTTTGTTTTAATTTGCTTATTAGCATTTTGCTACTTTTAATCAGCCTTTAGCTATTATAGCTATTGCAATTATGTTTAGATAATATTTTGTAACTTTTAGTTTTTAAGATGTGCATTACTACTTTTAGTTGGCATTTGTTTTTACCTTTTTAGCTACTTGCTTCTTTTCATTTTCATCTATTGTTTTACATGTTGCTTTTAGCTAGTGTTCTGCTTCTATTTAGCTTTAACTCCGTTTCCTTTCTTCAGCAAATTTCTTCAGTCATTCAGCACTTAACATTCACACTGCATTTTCAGTTTCTCTCGTTCCTTTTTACTTTAATTATAGAAGAGTATATTTTATTGTTTCTAACTGAGCAACATTAGGATAAAGCAGGCTGTTATTGCAAGAACAGCTCTTATGTAATGACTCACCATAAATCATTTGTTTCATAAAAGGGAATGAACTACTTGGAAGAGCGCCACTTGGTGCATCGTGACTTGGCAGCCAGAAACGTCCTGGTGAAAACTCCTCATCACGTCAAGATCACTGATTTTGGCTTGGCCAAACTCCTAAATGCAGACGAGAAAGAATACCATGCAGATGGAGGAAAGGTCAGTTAAAGATTAAAGTTGTCTGCGTTACATGTACATTTAGAGTGAAAGTTTTTTTTTTTTTTTTTTTACCAAGTTGAATTATAAAGGAGCACATGTTGAAATTTAGATGGAATAAGGCAGGGGTGATTCTAGAATCTGACCTTTAGAGGTGCTTAGCCCCCCAGTGCTGACAGTGGCTCTTGGCTTGAACAACGTGGAGGCTTTAAACATCTGTTTACCTACATACCAGTAAGTAAACACTTAATTCAGTAAAGAGTTCGGCACAACAAGAAGTAGTGCCAAGCTAGCGTCATGCAGTTCAGACGCTCTAGCTAAGGTGCTACAGACGTAGTGTTCTACGTTACACAACCTAACACATTGTACAAAATATTTAGTGTTAACTGATCATAACAAACAAAGACTAAACTTATGCAACCAGAAGTGGCAACATATATCTACATAGAAAACACACAAAACAAAGCACAACTAGATTTGGCTATTAAGAATACAATGTAATTATGACAGAAAATGGAGGATTTACTTGCAGTTACCTTCGTGCAGATGAACATGCTGTTTATCACTGTTGTATTCAGCTGCTCATGAGGTCAGCTGCAGGGCTTTATCATATTTTATATTTTTACAGATTCAGTTTAGATTTTGGAAATGGAATAAACTGTATTCTACCATCTAAAGAAGGGCAATTCAACTAAACTGCTCAGGGGGCCACAGTTACTGAAAGCCAGCAGCTCAGGGGTCGGACATCCAGCAAATAAAGTCATTATGTAAATAAACCCAGTATTAGAATCAGAGATTCTTTATTGTCGTTCCACCTCATGTGGTACATGTGGTGGAACGAAATTATGTACACAGGTTCCCAGTTACATCCAACAATAAAAATGTAAAAGAAAAACAATGATAACATCTAAGATATGAACTAAGAAAAACGTCAACTAAAAATACACTAAGCACTAATAGAATAAAAACATTACGTCGAACAGCAGCACGAACATGAGCATGAGTCTGTGTGAGCAGATGAGCATGCATGAACACATCAACACGAAACAGATCAGCAGCAACATGAAACAGCTCAGCAGCAACATGATGTGATTTTTTCACAGTGATTATTCTGCTTAGATAATCATGAGTCTAACAGCCTCAGGGTAGAAGCTGTTCCTCAGTCTAGTGGTTCTACACTTAATGCTCCTCTACCTCCTTCCTGAGGGGAGCAGGGCAAAAAGTGTTTGTGCTGGGTGAGTGGGGTCCTTCATGATACAGTAAATGTCTGTGATGGTGGGGAGACTGACTCCAACAGACTTCTGTGCAGCCTTCACCACTCTCTGCAAAGCTTTTCTTTCTGCAGCTGTGCAGCCTCCATGCCACACGTTGATGCATGTTGATATTACAATGATCTGGCACCTTTTTAATTACTTTATTTTATTGCACTGAATCATAAATGCAATAAACAGAACCCAAACCCATAAACACCCAAACAAAATAAATAAAATGGCTTTATTTTTCAGGGGTGCTGAGTTAAATTATCGGGGTGCTTGAGCACCCCTAAAAAGAAGCTAAAATCGCCACTGGAATAAGGTGACGAGCCAGATGAATTCTCCAACTTTACCCTTATTTGTTCACTTATAACCCACGTGTATGACAGACGATGACTTCCTGTATAGAAATAAGTTGCTATTTTAAAAAAGATGGATTTTCTTTACTTAGCTTTGTTCTAAATCTTATCTAAATGTTGTTTTCTATAGTCTTCGTAAACTGAATTAGAAAAGAAACAGAATATCATGTTTCTTTTACTGCTGATTTTTCATTCTGAAAGCTCAACTTTCTCCATTAAAACTGCTGTTGAATGTAGTTTTCAGTAGATTTTATTTAATTTGCCAGCACACTTTGTCTAATTAAGCTTTAAATAAAAGGACAAATCTTGAATATTCACACGTTTGCTCTAACTTGCTCAAAAATTCAATTACATGATGGGTATTAAAATATGTTTAAAGAAACAAAATGATGCAGCAATCTTTTGTATTATGCTTTTATTTTCGTGTTTTTTTTTTATGTAATAAAAATAGTTTAACTCATAGTTTTAGCCTTTGATCCACACTCTGATTGTAATTAATAACATTAGAAGAAGATCTACAAAGAATTTAAATTTTCTATATTTTATATATATCTTTTGACAAAGCTGTACTCAGACATTGAAACCACAACTGATATTTAACTAATGTGCAGCTCTGAAATGCAGAGTTTCACTGGAACTTAGTGGTTATAAACAGGAAACAAGTCTCACCTTGTAGAGAGAAAATATATTCAGTAAAAAACATATTTAGTACGAAAATACAGTCTGAGCTTCTCAACTTTTGTAACTGCTGACTGAACAAAAAATATTGTTTAAATAAATCTTGCACTCATTGTTTTGGGGTGGGGCAGGGGGGGTTGTAATATGTGACTTTAGCTCTTTTTCGGTGACGGTGCAACTCTTTACTGTCTGCAAAAATGCTGTGGCAAAGAAATAAACTAAATTTTATTTAATTTTAAATGTCTATTTCAGATTTGGTTCTTAAAGGGATAGTTCCATTTTTCTGGATGTGAAGTTGGATAAAGTACCTATAAGTAGTCAGTATCCTACCTGCAGCAGATAGCAGTCAGACTGATTTTTGTGTAAAGAATAAAGGAGGAATTCTCACAAATGTGTTACACTAACAGCTGCTAAAAAGAGAAAACATAGTAACTCAAAGAATTTCAGGTTTCAAGTGATCGCGCTATTGTACGTTTTCACACCGTCTCACTCTCGCACATGATAATTAGTAAACCAATATAATAAACTAACAATTTGGTGTGGTGTAAACATTTACCGTAAATTGTTCGCTTGAACCGTTTTGAGATTTTTGAGAAAGTATTTCAGATGTAGGAAATTTGCACTTTTTTGAGCCCCATCTGAGTAGCTGCTAATGTGACACGTTTAAAAACGCTTCTCTGATTCACCCAACTGATAATGACTGGACTGCTGTCTGCTACAGGTAAGACACTAAATAAGTACTCCACAAAATCAATAGATGCTCGATGCCACAAATTTTCAAACTGAAAACAAGTATGTTACTTACATTAGTGTACGTGTTGATACCGAGTGCAGACACAAGTACTAATAAATGTCTTTACACTTTCTACAGTCTAGTTACAAATTCAGTCCAGTCCAACGGTTGATTTGTTTGTTGAAATTTGTGTTCTGAACAAAGATTTTCATTCAAAATAGTAGAATAAATATATATAAAGTCAATCATGTTTAACAGTCATCATCGTGGCCATTTTTAGCAAAACCGAGCCTCTATTTCTGCCCAGTAACTTTGCAAAAAGCTGAAATTAAAACATTGTTTTTGTGGTGACGTTCACGCTGCCTGAAGTGGTATCAAACAGTGGTTTGAACAATTACTAGATTAATTGCATCCCTAATAAAACCCCATTTACTGAACAATCCCTGTAAATACTTGTCTCTCGGCAAGTTTATATCTCTCAGCCATTCTTTGTTTGCTTAAAAAAACCTATTAGATCAGGCATGTGTAATGTTGCCAGCAAAAAATAAATAAATAAATCTAATAACAAACATGACGTGATGTTAAAGTAAAATAATTTTGCTTAACCCTCAAAGCACGACCAAACGCATTCTACCTACCAGTATTTGCTATTTTTGATTCTCAGTATATCAGTCAGTTTAAAGATTAATTTTATGAAACTTGGCTTGGATTTGTTTTTTTATGTTATTTTAAAATATTTCATGCAAGATGTATAGAATAGGAGGTCTGCACAAAGCATACACTCTTTAACCCTAAGGCCCAATTTAGTCCCATTGACTCCCATTATAACCACATATTTTTGATGTACTGTAATCCTGATATAATATGATGCTTTTTCGTGAACACCTAATAAATCTACGTATCTATCTTCTAAATAAATAAAAAAAACAGGTTTTAGGTGGGATGACCCCAAACCCCAAACCCCCAGGGGCAGCAGACCCCTGGAGAGTGCCTCCTTACGCCAGTTGGATACGTGGTGTAACATGTTCATGGCACGCGGGTGCTTGTTTTGAATTCTACAAGAGTAGTTTGCAGCCTTGTCTGGCTGGTTGTTTCTCCAGCAGACGACCAGTGGTGGAGAAAGTACTCAAACACTGTACTTAAGTAAAAGTACAAATAAACAGACAAAAATGTAGTAAAAGTAAAAGTACCACATTAACGTTTTTACTTAAGTAAAAGTAAGTAAATACTTACTTTTAAAAATGCTTAAATACTTAAAAGTAAAAGTACTTGCTGAATGTATTGCCTAATGCAATGGTCTACAATATCATTAAGTGTGCCTACCGTATGTATATTTTCTGTAATACATTAACAGTGTTGTGTCATTTTAATGAACAATGCTGCAGATAGTGCATGTTTTTATTGTTTACTCTGTGACACAGTTCACACTTGGACTAGTGATTCTGTGCGTCAGAATTTCAGGGATGACATGCAGAGTTAAATGCCATTAAGCAAAATAGGAAAGAGGAATGATTTTACCTTTGAAAGTTTTTATTTAACACAAAGAAAAAGGTTTCTATGATAAAAATGGTATAAAAATATGAACAAATAAAAATAAATAAAAAACACCTTTATTTATAGTTAGCGCTGAATTTGTCAAAAAGATTTGATGCAATGGGGCAAAACGTATAGTCATTTTAGTGGTGTCTCAAGGGTAAAGGAAACATTTTCAACACTACAAATTAGTAGAATTGGTGAAATGTATTTTTCTGTTCTTGTCCTTCAGGTACCCATAAAATGGATGGCTCTTGAATCTATCCTGAACCGAACTTACACCCATCAGAGTGACGTGTGGAGCTATGGTAAGTCTGTTTCTGGGATGTGAAGCCTGGTAAGGGAAAACCGTGCACACAGTGTCCCAGATTAAGCCTGAATCCTCATTTATCTTCAGATATGTAAAACAGCCGTGTTCCTCGTGAATAATGGTGACTCCTTCACCGGAGAAATATTTACTCATTGCTAAGTAAAATGTTTTAACAGCAACCCTTGCAGAGAACAGAACGCCTATTTGAAGCTTCACATAGGATGTTGGTTTTGGGCCTACCAGTAATAAAGCTACTAAACATTTAAAGGTCCAAAACGAAAAGGCAGAAGTATCTGTGATTTTAGTACACAGGTAGAATACACCTACACAGCAGCAGGTAAAGATGGACAATTTTCCATCAGGAGGGATCATTACCTCAACCCACTCAAGTCATTCATTCAGCCCAGACGCACACAGAGGCCTACACTCGCACAAAAACAGACTGCAGCAGAGCTTTTTCTTACAAAGTGGGCATGCTTCCAAATCTTCTTTTCCCGAGGGGTTGATTACGCTTTCCGCTCAATCTGGCAAAAGCATCAGCAGTCGCTGGCAGAAGCGATGAGCTTCCTTTCCTCCTTTTCCCCCTTTTCAGTTCCTACAAGACAGAAATGCATCCTGTCGACTCCCACTTCTGCACGCCGAGCCAATTTGTCAACATTTTCGTACCATGTACATCCTGTTTCTTCTCTTTTTATTGCTGTGCAATACAAAGTGAAAGACAGCTCATCAGGCTTGACATTTACCAACTGTCCTCACTTCTGTGATGTAGGTGTAACCGTCTGGGAGCTGATGACGTTTGGGACCAAACCATATGATGGGATTCCAGCCAGTGAAATAGCTGGTATCCTGGAGAAAGGGGAGCGTCTGCCTCAGCCTCCAATCTGTACCATCGATGTCTACATGATCATGGTGAAATGTAAGCTTAGTCCTATAAACAGAAGTTGTATAATCTGTAAATAGTACTTTTAGGACAGTTGGTAAGAAAAGTTGTAGGGCTAATATTTAATCAACTTTTGTTGTTTTTCAGGCAAATAACTCTAATTTTGATGATATTAAAATCTTAAATGTGTCAATTTTGTTTTTGAATTTGTCTAGTTTTAATAATAAAAGGTGCATGATTGGTTTTGTGACTTTTAATGATGCAATAATAAACATTAGATTAGTCCAAATTGGCTTCTTCCACTTTATAATTCTGTTTTTCTCATTGCCTACCTTTTGTAAAGCAGTAGACAGATTTTAACGAGTTTGTCAGAACGTAATCATTGATGTGCATCTATAACTGATTAACTTTTGTAGTTGACCTGATTCTAGATGGCCATAACAGGAAATCAAGCATTTTTTGTTTTGTTTTTTTAAAGGGCAAAAGCGAAGTAGTTTTAGAGATAGTGTGCTAAAATGAGGTGTGATAGTAGCTGAGAGTCATATCCATCATTTATGCCAGGCTGCGAGCGATATTCATTCTTTTAAGGAATCCTTGGCCTTTTTGTTTTTCCTGAAATTTTATTAGTTGAACAAGTAATCTAGACAGTTAATAAAAAAAATAATAATTTCATTTAATGAATTTTGTGTGCACACAAGCAGTTTATTTCTATTTATTTTTTCATTAATGTACTTTTTACCACTTTGACTTTAAAACTATAGCTTGTATTAAAGTGTCATAGTAACTTTAATGGCGTCTGCTTATACGTTGGATGCACAGGTTGGATGATCGACGCAGACAGCCGGCCTCGTTTTCGAGAACTGATGGCAGAGTTTACTAAGATGGCTCGAGATCCACCTCGCTATCTGGTCATTCAGGTATATCTTCACCCCATTTCTGACCGCCTGTATCTGCTGGAAGTCTCATTAACCGCAATAATGTTTTTAAACATTTTATTTATTTTGTGCCAGGGTGATGACCGCATGACCCTACCAAGTCCTACAGATAACAAATTCTACCGCAGCCTGATCAGTGGGGAGGACTTGGAGGACGGTGTCGATGCAGATGAATATCTGATGCCACAGCGAGGCTTCTTCAGCAGCCCGAGCACCTCCTACACACCACTGCTCCACTCTACGGTAGGCTTCGTCTACAGAAACGCTTTGAATGTCTGTCCAGTTACATTAATGCCACGGCTCTAAACAACTTAAAGAAGTACATTGTTCTCTTTTGTTTTGCTCTAATAAGTTGCCTGTTAAACCTGACTTTAAGGTCAGGTTAACTTTTATTACTTCCAAAAGATGGCACCGTTTCACCCATTGCTCACCTAGTGACAACTTTATGAAACATTATTTATTATTCTGATGCATGCTCAATAATCCAGGTAGAAAGATCTAAAAAAGGTTAGAAGCTTCTAGTTTACGTATCCTCCAGGAGCAATTTGAGATAAGTTGGTCTATCCAAGGCCAGCGGGGACGCCAATTTCAGATAAACAACAATTGTTTGGGCTGCTAGACTCTGTTTTCTGTCTGCCTTCAAGTTCTGCTGGCACACTCAATGGCAAATCCAAACAGCCAGATTTATGGACGCTCCACCCGGTCCGTGCTCAATTAGCTTTCTCCAAGATCGAATCCTTCATGTCGGCGAGAACAAGGAGCCACAAGTGGCCTATGATTCTCAGAAATCGCGTCCAGCTTGCGATTGAGCTCGTTAAGCATATGAGTCTGAGAGCTCGAGGTATGAATTAATCCATCACATAAGGCTGGCAGCTTTACCATGGCCGAAGCTGCTGCCGATGTCTTCCTAATTTGTCTATATCCTAGGTATCGGCTGATTCCAAAAAGCAGAAACTCTGTTATCGCAAATTCAATAATGTACACATTTTTTACGTCCTCCTTGGGCAGCACAGATAGACACATCATCTTCCACTCCCCCCAGGAATCAATGACATACCCAGCTGTGTGGGTCCATTCAGGGCATGAGGGCTCTCCAGCACACTGTCGTCTGGTGGGGAAAAAAATTGGCTTTGAGGGACCAGCTGACCAAATCCATAATAATTTTCTATTTGGAAGATGTGTAAAGAGAGGCTCTGAGGTTGACAGGACAAGAGAGCAAAAAAGCAGGAGGAAGGGAGAGTGGGTAAGAGAGACCGTCTTCATCGAGAGCGAAAGAGAGAATTTTGACTGCAACGTTGCTACAGATGTTGACAGCTAATGGTGTACTTTGATTTAAATTGATTAAAAACAGATAATACTATGCATGTGTCTGTCTTTTATTAAAATATCTCATGAACATCTGGACAATTTTTTTTGGAACTTGCACAAAGTAATCATCAGATTAACATTTATAAGTGAAAAGCTTTTGGAGTCAGTCCAGTTTAAGCTGGCTGCCAGAGCCAGGTGACCTTAAAACAGCACAAATGGCTATAACACTTTAACAGACATTGAGCTAAAATTTAATGTGGTAGTAGCTGAAGGTCGTTAACAACCGTACTCTGAGCATATCTCATACTGTAATATTGCATGAGATTGCACATTCTGATATTTCAAAGATTTGTCCCAAACTGCTGCAACACAGTCAAGCTCGTCTTCCTTTAAAACTCATGACTATTTCTAACTAAAATGTTTCCACAGCAGTTTGAGATCCGCACCTGAACATTTGTCAAGATGTTTTGAGCTTTTCCACCACTACCGAGTCACATCAACTCAGTGAACAAAAGAACATGACGCGCTGAACATTTGCAGGAAAAACCAAAAGAGGAAACGTTGTGCGTAACCTTTGAGAAGCTGCATAAATTGAGAAAGTAAAGGAAGTAACGGCAACGCTTGGAACAACAGTGCACACTTTACACACAAGCAGCCAAGGGTTTGAAAATGTTATTGTGTGGTATAACTGAATTTTGGAAGGTTTTTTTTTTTTTATATATAAATCATATTGCTGTGAGTCAGAATGGAAATTAACGATTATCAGCTGTTAAGTCGGCAGGGAGCAAACCTCAGCTTTTAAATCAATAATCGTTTAGAAAGTGTCCACTGTTACCTGGCCTGAACCCTTCTGTCCTGATCTCCCCCCTGTCATCACTGTCCAGCGAGCCCGCTCTCGCCCACGTTTCCTCCCAGTTGGTCTTTGACTGATGCGAACCGTGTGAGGGGGGGGAAAGCTCTTCTGCATCAGGTTGGGTGAGGGCCATGCGTAGGTCTGGCTGTTCTACCTCACACCGCTGTGGGTCTCTGACAGTCTGTTTAACCCATACAGGCTTTTTTCAGGTCTGATTACCACTACAGGCAATCAGGAGGAGTTGATACCAATCTGTTTTTTATAATATCACTCTTGGGTGAATGTTTTTTTTTTACAGATTGATGCTCCTTCAGCGGGGTCAATTTCCTTTTCTTGTTGAAAGTAAATTGAATTTCCACAGCTGTCACTCCGTTGCCGGTATTTGCTCACTTTTTGTAGTTTACAGCTCTCTGAGTTAAGTGCTGACAGAAACAATGAAGCCTGTCGGATTGTCTGAGTGAGAATGAATCTGCTTGATGGACACTTGATTCAATCACAGTCAGTGTGGGGACGAAAGATTACTTGTTTTGTTTTGTAGTGGCTCAAAAATCTCAACAATAATATTAAAGGCCAAGCATTTCTTGAAATTTTAGACTAAGAATCATCTTATGTTGAGAAATAAGTGGAGATGTAGACATTTTAGTTATGTCTTGAATGGTACAATGCAAAGTCTAACAGTCAGAGAATTAGTTGTGAATGACTCACAGCTACTACCATATCAACTTTTAGCTTGTTGTCTATAAAAGTGACCAAGTTATCAGAATCAAAATCAGAATAAGCTTTATTATCGTACCGAAATATAGTGAGATTATGTTTGTACAGTCGTCCGAAAGATGGGTGGAGTGCACGTTGCTGCTGCTCCTGAGAGCGCAGCCCCTTATTCTTTTTAGATAGGAGAAGGCCATGAGGAGAGGATAATGGTATTACAAAAAAGATCTTGTCACATCTTGTCCTTATCAAGACACAATTTAAGACATAAAAAATCTCTATACCCACAAGCACATTTATAGACGCATTACATATGCATTTGACGACAAGACTAAGATTTGTCCATGAAGCACTTCCAGATAGGCCATAGTCCTGATAAGATGTTGGTGTCAGCTGGTACAGCTCTTATAAGCATTTACAGTTATTCTCGTGTGTGGGTGGGTGGGTGAGGTTGCGGTAGACAGAGCTTTTCCTGAGTTTACACATATCCCAGGAGAAATTTGATGTCAGCCTTCTTCGAGGCCAAATGGGGGTCAGATTCAGATAAGCCACAATTGTTGATATTTTTCAAGCAGACTTGTCTTTTTCTCGTCAGCATTGAGTCCTGCTGGTACTTTCAATCCAAAATGGTCAGATTTGTGGGCATTCCACTTGTCTGTGCTTATGAGCTCTCTCCAAGGTCGTCCCCAACATGCTGGCGAGTCCCAGAAGCCGCAGGTGGCCTGCGATTCTTACAAATCGCTTCCATCTTACGTTCATAAATCTGCTGATTTTGAGTACTCGAAACATGAACCAAACCTTCATACAGACTTGGCGGTTTTGCCATGGCCGAAACTGCTGCCACCGTCTTCTTCAATAGCTGATAACATAGATAGCCGCTGGTGCCAAAAAGCAGAAACCCTGCTATCATGATTCCAATTATATAAACATTTTCAGTGTCCTCCTGAGACGATACGGAACTGAACATCCCTCATGCCCCTATGGGACGCAAAAAGCAGGATACGTCATGGATCCGTGGAGAGTTTGGAGCTGATTTCTCCAGGACACTGTCGCTTTGTTGGAAAAAAATTATCGATTGTGTTGAAAGTCCAGCTGACCAGATCCATGACAGTAGTTTTAGTTTTGGAAGATGTGTAACAGGACCTCCGATACACAAGACAGTGCAAAGTTGTAGCCATTGTTAAATGTCTGTCAGCTGCGGAGCTGTTAATTAGCTGTAGCGATACATCAATACTTGTTTTCTGCAAGCTTAATTAAAAACATTTTAGTGGCTCATAAGATATTTTCATAACAGTCAAACACAGAAGAAAAGAATATGGTCTGCCTTATCCTTTCGGCAGTGGGTGATGATAATCATTATCACCATTCAAAGAAACTTTCCCCTGACAGATTTAAATACACCATAACAGCAAATATAATGCACACCTAAAAAGAAAGCATCATCAATAATTTAGCTAGAATTAAAATAAATAAATAAACGTAATGAATCATTAACCAAAGGTTTTCTGTGTTTCAGAGCCTGAACAGCAGCATTGGAACCTGCCACAGCAGAAATGGTTTACTGGTGAGACAAAACTTATGAAAACACTGTCTTTCATTGCGTTTAGGTGTGGGGGGGAGAGGGGGTATAAATCTGGAAACTGCCAAACTGATATTTCTTTTGGGGATAAATAAAATTGTATGAATCAAAAAAAAAAAAAAGAACAGTTCCTTTTGTTCTGAGCTATTTGAGGTTTTTTTTTTTTTTTTTTTTTTTTTTTATACCACAGCATTGAATTTCCCTGTTCTTTCTTTCAGAACGGAGTCCCGAGCAGAGACGGAAGCATTGTTCTCCGATACATTCCTGACCCCACAGATAAACTATTAGACGAGGCCTTCCAGCCTGCTCCAGGCAAGTACACCTCCCATTTAACCCCTCTCAAAGTTGTAACATTTAAACCAGACTGTAGAATCACCTGAAGGGCCCTGTGGTGGATTCAGAGAGAGAAGGTGACATCTAGAGGATAGAAAATGGTGCTGTTTGTAATTTCATCAGGTTTTAAAGAATCACAGATAAATTTAGTCTATGTTTTCTACTTAACACTTTCAGATTTATAATAATAATAATAATTTGGTTTTATTTTGTGATTGCCCAAGTGTTTCCTGTTTTCCAAGTAATTAACTTCATTAATATTATTTGAACTTTCCTTATTTTTGGTTACATAATACAACTTGCCCATACTAGTAGTTGTTCAATCTAATGGGAAAGACGAGCTTTAATGTAAAATATGACAATCCCCCTCTGTTTTGTGTTTTCTCACAGACTACATGAACCAGAACGGGATCTCAGAAGTAGTTAATCCTAACTACCAGCATTCTTGTTTGCCTCGCACTCTTCTTCCCACCATCTCGTCAGATGATACGGAAACAGAGTACCTGAACTGCTTTAAGAACGGGACTTGCGAGCCCGAATATCTGAACAAGCTCCCGTCCCCCACCACCTTCCCACTCACCTCCAATGGAACAATTCACAGCAGTCAGGCCTACCAGCCCCAGACCAGCATAGACAACCCAGATTACCAACAGGACTTCACTCCCACCTTTAAGACCCACACAAATGGACACATACCAGCTGCAGAGAACGCGGGGTATCTGGGCCCAGACTGAGGACTTTGTGGGACAAGAGAAGAGTTTTTCTGTTCCATTTAGAAAGATACTTTCTATATCTGGAAACACATTTTGAAGTGGTACCATCACTTATGCTGTGTTTTGGAGCCTCTCTTTGTTTTGTTACAAAGAATTTTTCCTCTCTACAAAACTAAAAAAAAGACTTTTTACTAAAAAAAAAAGCAGGATGAAGTGTAAGTTGAATGTGTCCCTGTTGATTCTAGAACTGACAGACTAGACACGAAACAATATTATCCTCACCAGGAAGGGAAGATCTCTAAATTTTCTGCACAAAATACTGTCTGATACCCAAATATGCAAGTACAGGAAAGCTTAGTCAATGATTTAACCTCCTTCATTATGTAAGAGGGCACAACTTTGCTTTGTAGACCTGCTACTTCTATATTCAAACCGTTTCTTTCAAAGATTATTGTAGAGGAAGCAGCTGATTTGAAGACGCTCCTCCTGAAGGGTTAGTCAGCAGGATAAAATGTCATCAGGCACAGAATGCAGAACCAGTGGTGACAGGTGCCATTAAATGTGTTCTCAAAACAGGTTTGTGTACATTAAAATGTACTAACTTGAATGAATAAAATTCATTTTTCTGGCTTGACTGTGTTATCACGGTCAACTATGTTCAGAATGTGACAGCAAATACAGCAGATGTGAATGTGGCTCACGCGACTGTAGCTCAGAACTTGCAGCACTTTGTAACATGAAAGATATTTTGCAGACCTTTAAAGATCTCTGTGACATACGAGTGTGGTTACACACAGAGCTTTCTTTTTTCCAAGTTGATGGCCTAAATCGCTATCAACCTTGTCTGTATTAAGAGCTACTCTCTTTCTAGCACACAGATACTAAACGACATTCTTGTTTTGTTCACAGATTAATTCTTTTCTGTCTGTGTTGTCTTTGAAAAATGCTGAGTGAACCAACGGAGACCGTGTGTGTACATTTTTTTAAAGCATTTTAAGCATTTTTGGTAGCATTTTCATGTCGTGTTTTAGAGACTTGATTAACTGTCAGAATTTAGAAACGTGTCGGATGTTTTTCCGTTTTGTAAATTATTTCTAATGGCGTTGACGCCATATAAATATATGAATCTGCTCCTATAGCTTTAAAGTTAAGTCTTGCAAGAGCATGAACTCTGCAAATATTATTCCTAGTTTTAAAGGAATATGTTATTGTAGCAACTTGACTTTTTCTGATTCTACACAGGTACGTGTACAGAAAACAGTGATTATTCTAAAATACAGTATATCCTTAAATAGTCACCTGTAATTTATACTCTGTAAAGTTTTTTTCATATTATATGTGAATATGCACTTATTTCTGATTGTGATCATATCATTCATAAAGTACATAAATAAATATTTTTTATCTGTATAAAGTTGTTCTTTTCTAAAATTTTGCTCAAGATGACAGAGAAAAAAAGGGACAGAATAACTGCCTTATCTACTGCACTCAGTATTTTGGTTTTGATGACACTGCTCTTCGAGCAGCAATCTCATACAAGTCCTTCACCAGCTGATATTCTGTTGTGCAAAACCTGTATTTTCTTTATGCTGCTTTTTGTCAGCAACCCTTGTAAAACAAACAAAATTTATTAAACGAGTGGTATGCCAATATCCCTCATTGCTGAGGGATGTGATTAGTGAATGTTTGTAGTTTTCGAGATGAGTGTTTTTCTGGACTGGAATGGAACAGGGGAATGCAAGTAAACCTTAATATTTTTGGTTCAAGATATTTAAGGGTGGAGCCAGGTGGTGGCCACTGGTGGCCTTGGCCGCTATGGCTTAATCTTCAGCCTCCCCCTTTTATATGAGGCAACTAGACTTTAAAGCAACATAAAATCTAGAATGCATAGTTTTCTCAAATGATGGAGGTGGTCAGTTTACATATTTATATTTTGGTGGCCAGCTTGGATTTTGACTTGGCTAACCGATTTTTGATGGTGATCTTTTTGACACTCAGATGCAACCAAACACCAAAATGGACGTCGGCACGTTCCTTAGTTTTCAAATTATCCAGCTCACAAGGTTAACAATGGTCACCTATGGTGGCAGCCATCTTGGAATTTGGCATGGCAACTCTATTTTCTATAGTGACCATTCGTATGCCTAGATGCAGCCACGCACCAAAGTGGAAGTTGGCACATTGCTTATTTTTCAAGTTATCCAGCTCACAAGACAGATGGACACATATGATAGCAGCCATCTTGGATTTTGATGCAGCAACACATTTTTAAAAGAAAACTTTCTTATGCCTACATGTAGCCTTGCACCAAAATGGGAAGTCGGTACTTATTTTTCCAAGTTATCAAGCTCACAGGACAGATGGATGGATGGTATCTCCAATCCCTCGTCTTTGCTATGTGATGGGGGACAAAAATTGTGGAAGAAAAATAATAATTGCACTGGAGCAAGATTTGTTAGCACCTGTCATGTTCAACACAAAGAGATAGATGTAGCAATCCCAGGTGATTGTAACATCAAGAAGAAGAAACATAAAATGCTTGAGAAAAACCAAGGGCTGAAGAAGATGTGGAGAGTCGAGGCCTTAGTGGCGCCAGTGGTCATTGGAGCATGTGGGGCTGTGACCCTCACTCTGGAAGAGTGGATCCATCAGATCCCAGAAATAATCTCCAAAGTCTTTGTCCAGAAGAATACAATCGGCAAGGCAAGTATATTTATATAGCACATTTCAGCAACAAGACAATTCAAAGTGCTTTGCATGATGAAATCATTAAAAAGTACATTGCAGTGGCATAATAAAGGAAAGGAAAGAAAATTTGGACTACTGACTGAAATGAACGTTTAATATTTTAACTAGTCAAACAGTCGAAGGCAACTCTAAACAGGTTTTTAACCTTGGTTTAAAAGAACACAGGGTTTCAGCATTTTTGTAGTTTTCTGGAAGTTTGTTTCAGATTAGTGGAGCATAAAACTGAATGTTGCTGCATGTTTGGTTTTGATTCTGGGAATTCATTCAACCTTTATTTATACAGGTTAGTCTCATTGAGCCTTGAGGACTCATTTACAACAGAGACTTGATTTTAACAGAGTGATGACAACAGTAGACAACAATGACAGCTGTAGACAATCATAAAATAAAGCATATAAATGGAGAAAAATAAATGAAAGAAAATATTTTAAAAAAACGGCTACCATGTGAAGTGATGTAGAAAACTAAAAACAGGAACATGTCTGCATTGGTTTTTGCCAGGAACTTAGTTGTTTGAAGCCACTTAGAGAGGTCATGGTCGAGAGCTTCAGACCTTTTTGCAAGATATTCCAGGAAACCGGAGCGGAGTAGGAGAAGGCCCTTTTGCCAAGTTCAGTCCTCACTGAGGGAACACTGCAGGTAATAATATCCTGAGAGCGCACGCTGTAGCTGCACTCACACAGAGACATGTAGGAGGAGATGTAAGAAGGCAGCAGAACAAGAAGTGATTTAAAGATGAAAATGTACCAGTGAGAGAGTCTGTGTGAAGTTAATGATGACAAGTTAACCAGTGAATACAGGGTGAAATGGTGGGTACGGTAGTTACAGTCAGTTATGAATCTTAGTGCACCGTAATAGACAGCATCCAACATCTGCAGGGTGCTTGTAGAGGCATTCATATAAATGATGTCACCGTAGTAAATGGAGGGAAGGAAATTTGTGGTTACAAGGCATTTCCTAGCTTTCAGAGTTGGACAGGATCTATTTCTGAAAAAGAAACCCAGTTTAACTTTCAGTTTCTTTACAAAGTTTTCCATATGAAGCTTAAAAGAGAGATGTTAATCAACCAAGATACCCAAATATTTGTAGGAATCGACAAACTCAATAGGAACACCATTCAAAGATAAAATCAAGGAAAGGACTGCTGAGACCGACTTCCCGTTTGAAAACAACACCCCTTTGGTTTTGTCGGCATTTAGTACAAGTTTGAGATGGAACAAATCTGACTGGATGATGTCAAAAGCAGATTGCAAAAGCTGGAAAACCTTAGCAACTGTATTCGCTTGACAGTAAACAACTGTATCATCAGCATAAAAATGTAAGGATGCATCAGGGATTATCTCGCCTACATGTAGACTGTGAAGAGGATGGGTCCTAAGACTGAGCCTTGTGGTATACCATTGTTAACTGTTAAAAAACTGGAAGAAGTATCATTATGTTGAACACATTGCCTCCAATCTGAGAGATAGTGAACCAATGGTGTGACCTGAGAAACCAATTTCTGAGAGCTTATGACATAAGATGTCATGTTCCACAGTGTCAAAAGCTTTAGACAGGTCTAAATAAAGTGCAGCACAATAATCCTTAGCATCCGGTGCTTCAGCGACATCAATGTGATGCCGTTGAAGTGGCGTAGACTTGAACTAGAAAACCTGAGAGGTCTAGAAAGCTGATACAACAACTACAAATCTTGAATGTGTTTTAGTGCTAAGCCATACAGTGATTTAAAAACTAACAGAAGTATTTTAAAGTCTATTTTCTGTGATATAGGAAACCAGTGTAAGGACTTTAGAGCAGGGGCAATGTGCTCTACTTTCTTAGTTTGAGGATGCAGGCAGCAGCGTTCTGTATCGGCTGCAGCTGTCTGATTGACTTTTTAGGCAGACCTGTGAAGACACTGTTGCAATAATCAATTTGACTAAAGATAAACACATGGATGAGCTTTTCAAAATCTTGCTGATCCTGGAAATGTTCTTCAGGTGGTAGAAGGTTGATTTTGTAATTGTCTTTATCTGCCTCTGAAAGTTAAGGGCTGACTCCATCACTACACCCAGATTTGGGCCTGATCAGTAGTTTCTAGTTGTTTCAATTGCTGAAAATTTGAGTGGACTCTTGATCGCTCCTCTTTTGGTTAAAAAAATAATTACTTCAGTTTACTTTTTTTTTTTTTTTTTTTTTTTTTTTTTTTTTTTTTTT